ATAGATGGATAGATAGATAGATAGATAGAGATAGATAGATAGATAGATACTCGTAGATAGATAGATAGATAGATAGATAGATAGATAGATAGATAGATAGATAGAAACTCGTAGATAGATAGATAGATAGATAGATACTCGTAGATAGATAGATAGATAGATAGATAGATAGATAGATAGATAGATATATAGATAGATAGATAGATAGATAGATAGTCATAGATAGATAGTCATAGACAGATAGTCGTAGATAGATAGATACTCGTAGATAGATAGATACATAGATAGATAGTCATAGACAGATAGTCGTAGATAGATAGATACTCGTAGATAGATAGATACATAGATAGATAGATAGATAGATAGTCATAGATAGATAGTCATAGACAGATAGTCGTAGATAGATAGTCGTAGATAGATAGTGATAGATAGATAGATAGATAGATAGATAGTCGTAGATAGATAGATAGTCGTATGGTAAGATAGTGGTAGATAAATAGTCGGTAGAATAGATAGTCCGTAATAGATAGTCGTAGAAGAGATGTCGTAGATGGAGAGTCCGTAGATAGCTTGTCGTAGATAGATAGTCGTAGAATATATAGTCGTAGATAGATATATAGATGATAGATCGATAGATGATAGATAGAATTAGATAGATAGATAGATAGATAGATAGATAGATAGAAAGATAGATAGATAGATAGATACTCGTAGATAGATAGATAGATAGATAGATAGATAGATAGATAGATAGATAGATAGATAGATAGATACTCGTAGATAGATAGATACTTGCAGATAGATAGATACTCGTAGATAGATATATACATAGATAGATAGATAGATAGATAGATAGGTTTATATATATATTCTATAATTGTGATTCTCACATCCATTATAGTTTATGTCAAAATAACTAACATAACTAACAACATGGGTATACTGTAATATATGTATGGACTTAATGGGAAAACAATGGGGAACAACTGTTGGAGGTGCAACCAGCACTGCCGTCCCTTGCTTCAGCCAAAGGCCAGCGCCATTGGCTCCCGGTGTCCACGAGGTGCTGTGCTGACTTTTATGGGTTGGACTCCACCGGATTAAAGTTATCAGTTTTAGTTATTCGGATTTAATTTTGATTGGAGTTTTAGTTATTAATCCACTTCAAATAACTAAAATTGATTGAAATTAATGACTCGTGGAATTTAAGCGTTTCAGATCTTCCGAGATATGGGTCGTTGACACACTGAGTTGCCATTGGATGGGCACTTGTAACACAGGGTATTCCTCCAAGTTCCAAACTCGGACAAACCATTGGCAGTCCCGGTATATTGATCAGATTTAGGATCTCAACCCATCAAAACTGCGTAAAACTGCAGAGAGTGACTTGTCCCAGGAAACGTGATCTTGTGGGCTTTAAACACCCTTCGAAAATTTGGTGTTTAACTGTTCAACCAACAAAAAATAATGTTACCAGTGATCGTGAAGAGAACTGATTCGGAACTGTGTCTATGTAAACCATGGTAAGCCCGTATCGAACATGTCAAAACTGCAGAACCCCCAACACTTCCTTCGGATGTGGGATGCATGATTCTCCTCGCAATAGTTGGCTCCATCAGCCATCATCACCGGCCAGGCACCTAAGGCTCCAACGGCCTCGGAAACCTCCAAAAAAATGAAAAAGAAAGTAGTGAAGGTCCCCAAGGCGGGGCCTTGGAGATCTCATGGGACACCCCCACGATCCACAGATTCATGGCTTATCATGGCTTACCGTACAGCACTTGGGAACCAAACTTGACACCTGGGAAACCAGGATTGTCCATGAAACAATCGGTGGGTGGACCCAAGTCATCCGTGATTGAGTTTATCACCAGCTTGGCAGGGTGGATGCTCCACTCAGTTTGCGCAGACTTGCTGCTTCAATAATATATGACTAAGATGCACATCATGTTTTGCCAAATCATCATGAACATGTTTCCTTTTTCTTGCTACGCAGCACATCTGGGGCGAGATCCTGAAACTGTGAAGGTGCCGAAGTCAACTGCAGGAAGTTCAGCGGTTGAAAAGGCCTGCCGATTTGCGAGCCAGCATTCTTTCAAAAGAATCTGTTTATGACTAGAAAATCATAAACCTCATAAACCAACCGCAGTCGTTTTTTTCAAAAGGAAGTGGTCTTGCCCACTGCGTCGCTACTGAAGTCTGCTGAGGCGCAGGCAACGGAAGCTCCAGTAGCGCCGTCTACACAGCCAAAAAAGATGAAAGTGAAGGTATCATCGAAGGCAGATCTGGATGTTTCAATGCTCAACATCAACAGCAACATAGGAATCTGGGAAAATCATGGGGATTCGACATGCAAGCAGGATGTTTCCTGGCGAAATAAATTTGTAGGCGAACCTTTCTACTTGTACCAGGGTTTGAATCCGTAGTAGAGTGTCATGGGTCATTTCCCAGTTGAGTCTATTATATTATATTATTGATCATTCAAGATCTTGTCACCAGAAGTGTTTCGGGGAGCCAGCAGTATTCAACAACTTGTCCTTGTTGGTGCTGAGCCCCGGAGGTGCGTGAGAACACGGAAAGTGAAGCAGTGCAAGAGGCAAGGCGTGTGACCAAATCCTGCTCCGAAGTTTCGAAGAATTTGTGTAAGGTCATTTTTGCTGGACTCCCCAAACCGATACAGTACAGTACATGCCCTATACATATATATATAATTCTATATATATATGATATTATGTGATATAGTTTTATATACTTATAGGTAAACCATGGCAGACTCATGTAATCCAATAACCAAGATGGTTGACATGTTTTGGACTATCCAATTCCAGCAAAACTTGGGATGGTTTTTTCTGGTTTTTACCACAGGTTTCTTCTACGTTTCCGTTTCCTCGTACATAGTGACTTTGGAAGGTCCTTGCGTTTGAGCCTTCAGCATGCTCCTAGTATCCTCCAATGAGGTATGCGGTATGCAGGTACGGTATGCGGTAGCACAGGTATGGTATGGCATTACCGATATTCAGAGGGGTCTGGAACTTTGTAGGTAGCATTAGGTAGCAATTATAATAACTATAACTTTGTAGCTGACTATAAAGTGACACCCCACTGAAACTGGATCATCCCAGCAACCCCAAAGTGGACCACCAAGAACCCAGGAAAATGTGACCGATGCGAAACCGAAGCGAGTGGGGAGACCCAAGTTAGAGGTGAGAGAATCACCGGTACTGCTGGACTCGACGACTTTCACCAAATCCTATAGCTGCTATATCCACTCTGCTATGACTTGGCACTGGAAAATCTCCGTTTCAGACATTTCAGGATTAGTTTCTGAGATGAAAGATACGGGGATTTCCATTGCTTGAGAAAAAGACTTCAACATTTTGATCAAAGTCCACCAGCATGGCGTCAGAACCCTTCTGATATCTTCTGATCCTAGGTGCGAAAGAAGTTGGTAAAGAAAAGTACGAAGGCCGCTACGGGACAGAAGCAAGATGAAACAAGGCTGAAAAGTCACATGGAACACAAAAATGATCTCCAGCAAATATCTCCATATGATCTCCATTGTTTGATGGTTTTACGTTGATTTATTCCCCGCCATTCCGGACAAAAATAGATGGTTCATCCTCTTGCAACAGACTTGCATCTCATCCTCCGGATGTCAGGACTCGATCTCGACAGCGAATCAACAGCAATGAGGATCAAAGATAATTGGAGGTTTGGAGCCAGTTCAGGGGATTAGTCACTATTAGTCACTGTTTGTCTATGGATCATGGAATAGCTCTGCTATACAAACATTGTTCTAGAGATTTGGGTGAAATTAAGCATGAAATGCCCAGCAAAAAAACAATCTAGCGTTGCTCTTTGATATGGCCATTGTTGGGTTCCACTTTAAACTTTTAGTGGTATAGTAGTGTATAGCCTAGTATAGTGGTCATTAATTCCCAAGCAGCAGTAGAGAGGTCAAGCCATGTTTTTGTTGTGAGGCAAAAGGCGCGTAGAACGAAACTGTTTACAGGTACAAAACAGTGGTTTACTCCCATGCAGCGGAAAAGTGGGTCTTTAAAGGGTTAAAACACCTGCAATTTCATGCAATTTCTGAAGTACCACGTTGGCTCTCGGGACGCCGAAAAGCATCAAAAGGCCATCTTGAATGGCGAATGGGTATGGCCTAAACCTACAAGTCCCGAAACATGAATCCGTCCATGCCAAATGACGAATTATGAGGATATGATGAATTATGAATCAATCGCTGACACATGTTGATAATTGATGTCATGCAATGCCCCAAACATTGGAGAGTTTCATGGTAAACATGTCCAAAGTTAATCAACTTAACCTGGTCGCTGCACCCCATTTTTGAGCCAAATCTCCGTCGAAAGAGGCGCCCTCTTTCAGGACTGGAGGCCGCCCCAGGCCAGCCATTAGGAGATGAACAAAACATGATCGGTTTTTTACCAATAAGAACATCAATTATGAATGGTGATATAGCCAACTACAACAGTGTTGCAACAAGCTGGTCCATATATATATAATATAGAATCATAAAGCACAGGTATACACCTATGTAGACATGCTGCGAAGATATAAACTTATAATATCTTTTAATAACTTATACACAGATACAACATTATATATAGTATACATATATATACATAATATTGAGTTTCCCCTCCTTTTTTCTTGGCATTTTGGTACATCGCACCTGTGACATTGTAAGTTACAAACCGCACGTTGCAAACTGCACGTTGGTTGGCCTGGGGCTGCAACCAGCGGCGAAGCTGCTGAAGGCGCAGCAAAGCTGCGTTTCTTCAGCCATTTATTTTCGTTGTATATTTACCGAGGACCAAGCTGAACAGCAGCTCGACTCTTGGCAGTTGTTGTTTATGGCAAAGGAACTAAGGTAACTATGCACGAAGATAATAAGTTGCCTTGGAACTATTGAAGTGGCAGATGAGTTGTGTATATTCCAGTCATGGGTGGAAGATGATAAAAGAGTATGTTATGCGTATGCCAACGGAATAATCTACAGGACCACCTCAAGTGACCTTCAGGGTTTGGATCAAACATGATCAAACATATCTCACAAGTGGGCACGTAAAGACTTAAGTTGTTCAATACTGAACATAGTAATGTTGAGTCCTGATTTGTGTGTGGCCCCCCCCCCCCCTAAACTATTTCTGGACTCTCTTTAACGTAGAAAGTCAAAAAAATTCTTCCCAAAAGAAAAACATATCCTCAATTAAGTAAGGATTTCAATTGGCTACAATTGAAATCTAATTACTTTTGTTTTTTTTTGCCGATGAAGTTGTGGTATTTGTAGTACATGTAGTACTTGTAGTACATGTAGTACTTGTAGTACTTGTAGTACTTGTAGTACTTGTAGTACTTGTAGTACTTGTAGTACTTGTAGTACTTGTAGTACATGTAGTACTTGTAGTACTTGTAGTACTTGTAGTACATGTAGTACTTGTAGTACATGTAGTACTTGTAGTACTTGTAGTACTTGTAGTACTTGTAGTACTTGTAGTACATGTAGTACTTGTAGTACTTGTAGTACATGTAGTACTTGTAGTACATGTAGTACTTGTAGTACTTGTAGTACTTGTAGTACTTGTAGTACATGTAGTACTTGTAGTACATGTAGTACTTGTAGTACTTGTAGTACATGTAGTACTTGTAGTACTTGTAGTACTTGTAGTCCTTGTAGTACTTGTAGTACTTGTAGTACTTGTAGTACTTGTAGTACTTGTAGTACTTGTAGTACTTGTAGTACTTGTAGTACTTGTAGTACTTGTAGTACTTGTAGTACTTGTAGTACTTGTAGTGCTTGTAGTACTTGTAGTACTTGTAGTACTTGTAGTACTTGTAGTGCTTGTAGTACTTGTAGTACTTGTAGTACTTGTAGTGCTTGTAGTACTTGTAGTACTTGTAGTACTTGTAGTACTTGTAGTACTTGTAGTACTTGTAGTACTTGTAGTACTTGTAGTACTTGTAGTACTTGTAGTACTTGTAGTACTTGTAGTACTTGTAGTACTTGTAGTACTTGTAGTATCCTGTAACTGGCACAGCTTGCTGCAATAGTGAACCCAGCAAACAAACCTACTAAAGTGAAATGGGGCCTCTACTGGTCCAGGGCCTTGGAAAATTGTGGGAAAGCTGTTCTTTAATAAGGGTTTAATGAGGGATTGGTTCTTTTGGGAAAGGCTTGCAGTTTGAATTTGGCAATTTTGGAAATGGCTTGCTTCCCTTCTTCAGGGGCTGCTCTGGCACAGCTTGCTGCAATAGTGAACCCTGCAAACAAACCTACTAAAGTGAAATAGGGCCTCTACTGGTCCAGGGCCTTGGAAAATTGTGAGAAAGCTGTTCTTTAATAAGGGTTTAATAAGGGATTGGTTCTTTGGGGAAAGGCTTGCAGTTTGAATTTGGCAATTTTGGAAATGGCTTGCTTCCCTTCTTCAGGGGCTGCTCTGGCACAGCTTGCTGCAATAGTGAACCCAGCAAACAAACCTACTAAAGTGACATGGGGCCTCTACTGGTCCAGGGCCTTGGAAAATTGTGGGAAAGCTGTTCTTTAATAAGGGTTTAATAAGGGATTGGTTCTTTTGGGAAAGGCTTGGAGTTTGAATTTGGCAATTGCCTTTGGAAAAGGCTTGCTTCTCTTCTAGGCTTCCAGGAGCTGCTCTGGCACAGCTTGCTGCAATAGTGAACCCAACAAACAAACCTACTAAAGTGAAATGGGGCCTCTACTGGTCCAGGGCCTTGGAAAATTGTGGGAAAGCTGTTCTTTAATAAGGGTTGAATAAGGGATTGGTTCTTTTGGGAAAGGCTTGGAGTTTGAATTTGTTAATTTTGGAAATGGCTTGCTTCCCTTCTTCAGGGGCTGCTCTGGCACAGCTTGCTGCAATAGTGAACCCAGCAAACAAACCTACTCAGATAGAGATGCATTTACAGGCTCAGATAGGGAGATGAGCAAAAAATTGACTGAGCTACAGCGTTTTTGAGAAAAAATGCCTCTCAGCAATTACAGTTTTTTTTGCAAAAAAAAAGGGTTCTCCCAATTTTTCTTGCCACAAAAGCGAACCCTCCAAACAATACATGAGTTTCAGAATAATTTGGAAAAAATTTGCCACAATAGCGACCCTAGGTACTAATCAGGACTCAACATTACGACTCTATGGCTTTGACTAAATCCAACTGCTAGTCACTATCACTAGATCGAATAGGCCATGTTGACCCAGGTTCAGTAGGCACCATGAGGTGGAACTGTTGCTTCCCGATTTTGTTTTGTATGACAGTATCTTACAATTGTCTTATTTTTTACACTTTTATACCTTATCTTTATAAAACTTATCGATCGCATTTACCTAATCTACTTAATCTACCTACTCGTACCTACAGTACCCTACCTGCTCTACTAGTCTCTACTACCTCCATCTATTCTATCGAATGAATCTATCGAATAAATCCATCTCGTTCATTATTCATTATATATTCATTTATTCTTCTATCCATCCATCCATCCATCCATCCATCCATGCATCCATCCATGAATCCACCGATCCAACCCACCCACCTATATATTTTTGCGTAGTTTCTGTCTCTCCATTTGTACTGTATATGTTTTTTGAACATTTGGTTCCCAATGTTACTGTCATTTCACATCCATCCTGGGTCACTGCCAGGGTCAGTTCTGGCATTCCAAAGGAATGCTCAGCAGGGAATCGAAGGAGCGCCTGCGGTGCCCGCTTCCTGGAATCAGAAGCGACTTCGCCAAGGGCGCCGCGAGATTTTCCAAGTGGTGGTCGGAGGCGATAGATGTGGTTGTTGTCATCTCACCACTATAGTAATAACTTGTTATACAATATACATGTTGATGTATGTTGTATGTTATAGTAATTTAAGTATAGTATTTGGAATAATGGTAATTGACACAATAATCGTGATATAACAAAGTATAATGGATGGTTGCTAAAAACAATAAACGGCAGAGAATTCCATCATGTAATATACCTCAATTCTTGGCTAAAATCAGTAGGAACTGGTGATAAGACGGTGGGATGTAGGGGGACCATCCATGGTTGCTACGGAGCTATCGGCTGAGGCAAATGAAACTTGGGATATTTAGGAGTTCCGCATGGGTGCAGAGGTGTAAGTTGCTAAAACTGTACGTTGGCATGGTTTAATTATGTGATTATATAGTATATATGTATCTATACATCATAATTCTCATATATTCTCATATATATATTATATAGTATATATATATACGTATATAATATGATTATGTATGCATGTGCTCCTTCTCATCATTTGGCCAACCATTGCCCGTAAGCATTGGTTTCACCATTATCAGACCTTCGCTGTTGTATCAGCTGAGATCTTCACAGTTTGGAGTCATTTGCAGTCTATCTCTCAGCCTGCCGAGAGACATAAAAGGATAGACAACAGGCATCCGTGTATATCCCCAAGATTTGTTATGTGATAAATGATCATCCTGGAGTACATAGAACTTCCCCCAAGTTTTTCTACTGATTTTCCTCAGGATCTTCCAAGTCATTTCTATCTTGATGGGTCAACTGGTGACCACCCATGGCCTCGCGGGACCCGGTAATGTGTTGATGCGTGCAGCAAGAAGTGCAGTCGATCTTCGCATATCGCATATCCGCGGCTCCGCATTTCTGAAAGTTAGATTAGCTGATTAGCCATGTAATCAACACTTTGGAGGGGTAATCCATGTAATCTGCTGTTCTAATGAAATTGTACTACAGTAATCGTTGCTGTTCAGGCTGAAAACTTAGCATTGCTATTGTGGATTGGAGTGAACTCAAGCTTTGATCCATGCCTATATTTAAAGCACCACCAACATGTTGCCGCTTAGTGACAAACCAGGGAATAAATGATAGTGATTGAGAGCCATTTATTAATTTGGGTTCCAGATGTGAGCCAGACTAGATACTACTGGGAGCAGTTTTTACATCTATGCATGTGCTATAGTAATGTTTGATGGTTTGCAGCCAGTCTTAGCTTCGAAATCTTGCCGGGCGTGCATTCATTTCATGTGGACAGCCATGTCTACACTGCAGTTCTTGCTGCGGAATCGAGACCTTATTTCCCATCGCTTTGTGATGTGCTCCCGCAAAAGATCGATTTCTGTTGGGTTTCATTGGTTTTCAATTCTAGATAAACTGTTTGAGAAGTGCGGATTTGAGGATCATTGTTTCGTCATAAATGGAAGATATCATGGGGATTGAACTAACTCCCTCAAAAGGGAAGCCGGCAAAAATACCTGGTTATGAAACCCCTTATTTTTCAGTGGTTGGTGGTTAAAAGACCTAGAATTTTCACCTTATCATTCCTGGGTGTGTCACTTTTGGGTGGGTTGAATCCCCATGAAAGATGTGATATCCAGCTTGAGAAGTCTTTTTGCAACATATTTACCGTAAGTTTGGCCATGAACTGTCATGGACGGTCTTTTCCTTTGCATGAATGACCGGCAATGTCCAGCATACCTCTGGAATACATTGGAATACGTAGCATAAATGAAATTCCATGGATGTTTGTCTTCAGTTCTGAGCGTCGGTGCAAGAAATTCAGCAATCCACAGACGTCTAATGTCTTTGGGATTGGACCAGGCTGCCCTCATGGCTGCAACAGCATCCCTGGGCCATCGATCCGCCTTGGATATCCTTGGATCACAGGTTTGAGAGCCTCAAGATTGGTCGCTAGGAGAAACGAAAATGACAAATCTCAAGATTTCCGCAATGACAGCACTGTACACTTCCAACACAGGTGGAATGCAGTCGCATCGCTGTTTAAATCATATACATTGATATGATAGATGTGTAATTTATATATTATAGAGATGTGTAATATATATAATATGTGTGTTCAGCGAAGTTCAAGAAACAGCCACACATCAGTTGCATTCGGGACTTCTTTGCGGGTTCAAAGCTACGATGGACCGTGTCGTGGATCTGTGAAGTGCCCTGACTCAACCGAGCAGTGGATGGTTGCAGAAACAATCTGCTAGGACATGCGTTTTTAATGTGAAAATATGGGAAACCATCTATCAATGGTCAATGGATACAGTATCTCGGATATATACAATATGGACATGTACTGACAACGCATGACGAGACTATTGGCTATTAGACAAAAATTGGAAATTCTAGACAATGTAAAGCTTGTCCTGGCCATTGAAAGGCCTCCAGGCGGACCATGTCCATAAGCTTGCGAGTAGTACTGTGATTGGTTCGCATGATTGCCTTTTGCTCTTGGCTATCTTCACCATATGAACTGCCTTGGATTTGGCTACTGATTCACAAGCGTCCCCTGAATGCGATTCACTCAAGATGTGAGAACGTCCACGAACAAGGGATCGGTAAATTGTCCAAAGTCCCCTGAAAGTTGCTGATGTTCATTGAGAAACAATTACTTTGGGCACCTGGTTTAAGTTTCATCGCTTGTTTGGTTCAACCTGTTGCCTTCCGTGCTCAGGTGCTGCGAGACGCCGCGAGACGTGTGACGAATGGGTGGGGCACAATCAGTGGACGCTGAAAATGAGGACTGGCACCGCCCAGCATCGCCCAGCTATGGATGTTTCAACTTGAGCTTCAAGTCTGGTCAACACCCAAACAGCCCAAAATGATCCGACATGGGCTGGGGATGGCCAGGGAATATCTCCAACTTCCATTTTTTGAGATGTACATGATCCGTGACGTTGTTTTTCCACATTTAGCTTCTCGAGTTGATACCCAATAGCAGCTGAAAAAGCTTGCGGTACTGGAAGCAATGTATGGATTGTTGTGAACTGAACAGAATTGTTTTAGGAACCTGTTTGTGTCTGGAAGGTAGAGACTGTTTGGACCTGAAACTGGACCAACTTTCAAATTGTGAAGGGGGAATAAAACCATCAGGGGCTCATAGCATTCATCAACATTCTATATACTGTATTCTAATTATTGGGCACGTTTTGCGCTGGCTGTGTCCAAGAACCAAGAACACGCCATACCTCAAAAAACACATTGAAAAACATTGATTTTCAGATGCAACATCCAAGCATTCTCAGGGATTTGGGGGTGGAAACAAATATGAGCTACAGCCAAAATTTACCGTAATGGAAAGTAGTATTCGAGACATCTTTATTTTTGGAAATTGAGCTGGGGCTTGGAAAATGATAATGCACTTTTCAAAAAAGATAACATTTGCTACATTCCCAAAACCTGAAAAACGATAATACACTCTTCAAAAATTGGTGACTTGGAGCTACTAAATATTGACCGTGGCTATGAAATCATCATATGATATCATTATAATATATTATACTCATTATATTAAAGTGATACGATTCATGATTTTACATATTTTTTCCCATATTTTTCCCGGCATTTTCCCATCGAAATTCCCGGGTTTTCTCACGAACTCTGGGTCTGAGGAGTCCGAGCCATCGGAACGGCCCGAGATCGATCTCTCCCCCGAGGATGTGGTGCCATGGTGGATTTTATAGGGACCTAAAATATGGGGATCTCCATGGTGGAAATATGTGGAAATCATATGAAAAATATGGTAATTTTCAGACCCAAATCATGATGATATCCATGGGGATATGATGATTGGAGATGATTTGGATCTGGAAATGGTGTATATACGATGAAATGTATTGAAATGTGGCCATTGAATCGGGAAAATCATGATTGATCATTGATTTTTGGGATACCCTATGCTTAGACAAACCCTATATACGATATATATATATATGACAATATCATCGGATATTGTTTGAAAGATTTTGCTGAGGCAACAACACGTATGATTTTCGCAAGAATTATCAACAACATGCATTTTTTTGGGATGATTTACACATGATGCACATGGATTGCGGGTCGCATCCTTGGGACTACGGGGTGAGACCCTGGACCCTCCAAACCACTGTTTCACTCTAAACATCTCCCCCGCAACCCCCTGGTTTGCCCACACTCAAACAACACATCAAAACAATAAGATATACTTATCAGCAGAGGATGAATGAAAACACTGGCTATACGCAGTGATTTTGACTGTAAGTTTTCAGGATTTAGGGTTTTAATTTAGGGCTTATGTCTTTAGGTTTTAGGGTTTTAGGTTTTTGGGTTTTGCTGTTTGTTGTTTTGGAAAGTGAAAACCTTAAACCCTGCGCAGGGATTTGAGCATGTCAAAGGATATGCGGGATTGGCCGCGGGCAAACTAGGGGTTGCAGCGAACATCTCTAAACGCACTATAAATTGTTTGATGTCCGCTAGTCTAGATGTGGGTCGTTTCCCTACATTGAAACCATGGCGGCAACAACACCATTGCCCCAAGGCCAAGATGACTTATGGCGAGTTCAATGCAGCGCTCGACAGCGCCTGCCAGGAAGATGTTTCTCGGCGAAGTGGTGGCATCACGAACTGCAACAGGATGTCAAGGGTCGTGGGTCTTGGGTACCAATGAAGCAACAAACATGAGTATAAAATAGTATAAACTTCAACTAAACGTTTAGTATTTTTAGTATGGAATCCATAAGACATCCCCCAATGACTTACCAGAAGTGTGGTGGTTTGGCCCGCCATCCCCCATTAGGAGGTCGATGATTCACCACATTTCATGGGTCTGAGGACTTTGCCAAGTACCGCGCCCTGTGGGAATACATTTGGGTGGTCCGCAAGGACAACCAAGCCTTTGAGACTTGGAGTGGTGTCACTGAAATTGGGACGGTTTATCATGGGTTTATAATGGGTTTATAATGGAAATTCCCATTACAATGCATGATTTAGGGATACCTCCATTTCAGGAAACCTCCAAATTGGTATACCAATGTTTGCCTTCGGTGGCTTATAGTTGTTCCGTAAAGAAGATTTCAGGTGGCTGCTGTGTTGTTGAAGCATGTTGTATGACCACAGGCTTGGCATTTAATTCTACCAGTTGCTTCTGACGTCATTGCAGTGCGATGATGGAATCATGATGATAGTGGACCCGCATAAATGATGGTTACTACAAGTATAGCGCGGAACCAACACCAAAAGGCCCTAGTTCGGGAAGGTGAATCACAAGTAGACCAGACAATACCAGACATATTCAGCCCTAATCAGATGCATGGAATGCTTGAAAGAGACATTTCATGAAGCAGAAATTTTACCTTTGGTGCACGAGCCCAGCCGATACAACGGAACCTGTGTACAGTACAATGCCTGTGTACAGTACAATGCGCATCCAACAGTGCGTGACCCGCAGCGCTGATGGATCCCTCCCCATGTTTGGTCACACTGGTAGCCAGTGAATCGCTCAGGATGAGGCTCTGTTGGCCGATGGTGGCATCAAACATCTGAAATATGTGAGGGCCCTGGCGTAAATTGCAGCTAGGAGTTGCGAGAACGGTACAGTCTGTGATGAAATTTTGCCCTGGCTCTGGTGAAAATTATTGTTTTCTAAGGATGTGTTTGTCCAAATTCGCTATAGTATAGCACCCAAATGGCAACTTGAATGGGAACATGGAGAAAATTAATGAAAATGGATGAAAATGGATGACAATGGATGATACAACATCAACTTTGGGGTTATTTCCAGACAAAACCATATGGCCAAATCGGAAGATCCTCTGGAGACGGGCTGGATGATCATCCCAGCTGGATTCCATTCTGATAGGATAGCCCCACTTAGAATATATTTATATAGTATTTTATAGTCATCCCCAACAACATATACTAAGATTACAAAGTAAATCACCATTTAAATCGTGAAGATTTACTTTTCTAGCTTTTATAAGATTACTATCCATGATTTTTATGGATGCTTTGGGCTTTTGGTGGTTAGTATTCATTTACAGTGCTCACTAGGCAGGGCCACCCAACCAGAACCTACATTTTACATCTATTTCCACTGCATGCTGACAATCTAGCAGTTCCTAATATATATATATATATAAACGTCATAGCTATAGCTTAAATTTCAGATTTTGGATTTTCAAGCAACCAAAATGGCTGGAAAGTTGGAGTTTGGACATAGTGACATAGCATATTTTTTTGGTGTCCGGCTAAATCACAAGAGGACATCGACACAGCTCCACTTCGACGGGTCATTTTATCAGGACTAAGGACATCAATCGCCACCCATCCCGGGAGGCCTTTCGCCATAGCGACTCCACATGGCGTGAAGCTGGAGTTTCTCGGGCTCAGACGAGACTGAAACTTGGGGTTTGCCAATGAAAACATATGAAAACTGGGTGCCTAGAGATGGCTTTACCACCGAAACTTACATACCGAAACCAAGTGGATATCTGGGAGGTTTTGGAAAGCCAAAAATGATCGTTTTGGCACCATTCAGAAGAGGGAGCCTTCACCGTCCAAAACGGTATTACCATTGGTTGGTTTCAAATCAGGGATAGTCATCCCTCAACTCTTGGCGTCAACATTGGGGGCCCGGGTTTGGTAGGTGAATGGGCTATGGACTAATTCTTTGCCATAACTAGATATAACTAGAGGAATATAGAGGAATATAGTAGTGTCAACCATGTCTTTTAATTGATCCAAGATTTACATAGATTTACCATCTTGGAGACAGCTTTCCAACCTTTACGTGCATTCTTTTCTCTGGTTTCTGTGTGGGAGACCCAGAGCCATTGTCTCCTGTTTGTATCACCGCAAGGCCGATGAATGGGCAAACCACCAAACTCGCAAATCAATAAAGGAAATCATCATGAATTGGGATACCATATTCTCTAATTATGATTGACCAGTGGATAATCTTCATTATGCAAAATTATGATTAACACCAAAAAAGTACCATTGGAATCCACTGGTTAATCAGCATCGCCAGCCCGCTGCCTCACCGAGCGGCTCAGGTCCGAGTTTGTCGTACCTTTTTCCACAACCAGGAGGTTGGCAGCTGATGCGGCGCACGTGCTGGTTGGCAGCCAATGTGACTGGTGAGAATCCAGTTTCCAGTCTTCACGACATTCATCCCCTCTGTTCGGTATTACGGTCTTATGCTATAAGATTTACTCTTAAATCGGGTAAAGGTCATATTATTTAGTGGGTAAAACTGTTTGTCATCAGATACCCTCTTGCAATTTAACATCGCTAGGGGAAAATTCCGCATCTCTAGATAACTTAAAATCAATTTGCCTTTTTTGAAAATGATGGTTTTCCAGTTCCCAAACTGTTCCTTCGTCGTTACTCTCCAGTGACGTCGTCGCAGGCCCGTGAGAAGTTGGTCCTCTTGGACTTCGTAGGCGGAGCTTGACGAAGGATAGTGTTTTTTTTTGGACAAAAAAATGGGTTAGACAACCGATTTGATGACCATGTTTTATTCTTTTTCCATCATTGTATGCAAGTTTACGGGCTATTTCACTGGCTATTTATGGCTATTTACCCGCTATTGATGGCTATTCTATGGCCAGTAAAATCCGTGAAACAATGGAAAATCAAGGGGAACATGTTGATCGACTACTCGAATTTGGGGTGCCATGTGAACCTTGGCAGTAGATGTGTGTTCGATTTATATGGAATTTACTACGCGGCCCAAGAATGAGTGTTGTTGTGGGACACGTGTCCAAAATTGGCAATGGTAATGTCTATAACCAACCCGAAGTGGTCACACAGAGAGATTTCTCCGGCAGAAATATAGGATTTCACAATGAACATATCACCTATAATCGATTTACAGTAATAGGTAAGGGATGGTAAGGGTAGAAGCACCAGAATGGGTACTGTATAAGTCAAATTGAGAACATTGGGAAAGCGTCTGAAGCCAGGCTCCATGATGGTCCTCACCATGCCCAAAGAAGGTGCGGATGACTGGCGGCTGAGGACTACCCCGAGGAATACAGGAATTTAACACCTGGAATAATTCGCAATCTTGGCAATGGTTCAGCTTAATATTGCTCTATAATTAGTATACTATAAGTTATCTTGATCAATCTTGGTATTTTTGATCAGCTAAATATTGGGGTGTAGAACTGTAGAACTATATTATACTGATTATTATAGTTAGCATAGCATATCAGCATATCAATCAGCATGTATCAATCAGGTTCCCCAGGATTTGGTGGGCACCCCACAAGGACACCAATGTGCAGCGCCAGGCTTGGATTTGGAGGATGATGAAGGATGGCTCGGGTCTACCGTCAAGCAGCAGATCTGTTGGGTGGACAGAAACGACGTTGGGGATAACAAACACATAACAAAAAGCACCATCTGGTGGACTATATCAGAGGTTAATGGAAAGGTTACTAACTGCCTATGACATCTATGACCCACCAGTCATATGAAAAAGTCCCAGTCATACATATGTGGTTTCATCCCTTCGTGTTTACCATGACTCCGGCAGGACATGACGGAGCCGAGGACCGCGGAAGCTGTTCATGTGTGTTCCCATTGCGTCTCATCTGTGTCACAGGGAGATTATATAGATTTATATAGCATATATGAGAAGATGGTACAATGTCTATCCGGATCTTCATATCACATATATCACCATTTGTTCGACAGCGAATTGGACTGTTTTTTTTTAATAAAAAAATCTTGAGACACTCGATGAAAGATAAAACTGATTTCAGTCATGCCTCAACGTTTTGGGGCGACACTTCGCCACGGCCTCAGGAGTTTGGCTTTCAACTCTTAGCTGCTGCCAGATGTCTCAGATGGTGTGATGGGACGGTCCCCTTTTTGGGACGGCTACAACTATGGCAACGATGATTTTACTATATTTTATTCATACACCAGGGCTTAAGATGTGTTGGCAATCAGATGATCAGACCATAAATTGACCAGAAATTAACATCTTGTAGCCGTCATCACCTGGTTTCAGATGATATTTTATACATTTTTATATTATATATATAGTACGTCCTCAACATTTGGTATGATCCTAAAGGACCACAGGAAATCTTTGAAAAGGGACCCAGGTGGCAAAGAGAACTCCATTCCCGGGCATGGCCCGAGACCCTCCCAGGAAACCATCCTGGAAATGGCGGACTATCCAGAGTTGTAGCCCAAGATCGACCCGCTGCAACCATCCTTGACATGATGTGGGTTAAAGCAGTATAAACTCAAGACATGGCAAAGTAAGTGCTTGTTGGATCTTGTTGGTGTTCGAACATGTGTCTGAACATGTTCATGACTCAATTTGATTTCTCGCGGCGGTTGACAGCCTAAACAAGCTTTCTTTCACCATGTTGAAACGGTGTTGAAACCACCAACCAGACGGTCGCCATGAACGGAAGCTGGATCCGCAACAGGTTCATGCCATCGCTCTGTTCCACCAGTGTTTTGAACTTCCTCTGCATCGCCTTGAACCAGGCACTTCAGACTGGAACAAGCCCCTGGTAGCCCGGTTGGATTGTGAAAGATACCCAAGAACTCCATGATTTTCATGAGTTCAAACAGACTGCCTGACTTTCGGGAAGAAACGCCAGTACAGGGTACGTGTTGGTTTTCCATTTTTCGATGTGGCTTTTCCAGTGTATCCAGTACTTGTTAGTGTACCCCGCCTAGGCCCCAGCTATCACAGCAGCGCCAGGTTCCAGCAGCAGTGGAGACGGTGACCCACACTTTCGTCACTTGGATCGTGGCAATGTGTGGCAATAGTCATAACATGATTTAAAATGGTTTATTTGCCATCCGGTAATCAAACGTAGCAAGGGAAAATCCACCATGAATACAATTTATAGATTATTTTCCTGTAAACACCCAGCATGTGTTGGGTGATTGTCCATTGCCGTGTTTGATTGTTTTTTGGGGATGGTCATCAATCCATCATTGATCTGATGTGGATTTATAAAATTTGATATTCTTATGATGTTTGACCATGGCACATGTGGCAATGGGAAATTCCATGGAATGAATTACGCCTCCATGTTCAAAAGCGATAGTCACAGGTATGTTCACTTGGCCCCAGTTTTAACATCTACACATAATTAGTGTGTTTGTAATATTGTCCTCATGGGTTGTTTGGACTTGGATCAGTTACTTTGTGATCACAAAATACAGTACTTCCATGTACTTCCCACAGCCACGGCAGAGAGAATCCACCAATTATAGATGATGTTCCCATTAAACCCTTCATTTACATTTCCCAGCCACATTGGCCAAACTCATCCAAACTCTCCCCGATTCTGAGGTGAAAATCTCCAGTGATCCCCAAAATCTACAGGTCTTCCTGGGAGGCATTGGCAATGGTAATTTTAAGGAGAGCTCTAGGTTTTGCGTGGGACTTTTATATGGATCTATCATGATCTATCATTGTACCATACTTCTGATCTGTCATTGATTTTATTGAGAAGAACAAAAGTGGCGCCGGGCAGTTTCACTGCCAACGCGGCGGGCAGGTTCTGTGGGCGATATCTTGGAGTCGTTTTTTAAATCCACGAGTTGCCACCGCCCGACCAATCCTGCGATGCATCAGCAATGGGCCAGGGAGCCTGGCTTTTGGGTCATGCTGGATGTAGGGGATTTACACAGATTTGGGACCATACAATGGTTTTTTTTCCTGTTAGGGCCTGTTAGGGGATGGGAGTAATCATGGGTCTAAGTTTTTGCTTGGTGGTTTCAACATGCTTGAAATATCTGCTACCCTCTTACCTCTTGCAAGAGACCACGTGCCAACAGGCATAGCATTTGCAAAGTGCAAAAAATGAGGATCACCCCATGGACCAATGTTTTTTCAGTTCACTTGATGTCTTGCTGCTGGAATTTATATAGACATGTATTAAGAACATACTATGTCCAGAGGCTACCAAGTTACCGTGATTTCTATGGTTTCAAACAGAAGGTCGGTGGTTTTGTGCGATTTCTTCTGATAACATGCAAACAACAATGTAAAAGAAACAATACTACCTTAATACTTGACAGTACACCGTATGCAATTTTACAATTTGCTGTTTATCATAAACCACCATGCCTATCGCAGTTTAGAACCTTTTTGAGTTCACAATCCTGGCCATTGAGATTTTCCACAGATTTGGTATGTCCGAATTCCAGAGAAGGGCAAATAAATGATGCATCGATGCCTGAGCTATTTTTGAGATCCTCACTTTCTGGTCTACTCTCCATGGCTGATTCGAAAGTTCCAAAGGATTTTGTAGGCAGCCATTGCAACCAGCTCTCCAGCCCAGCTCAGCTGAAGCCCCAAGGCCCTGAATATTTCCGCCCTGGCGCACTGTGCCAACAGCATGGGCACGTCATGCTGGCCTTAGAATTCCTGGAATCGGGTGATGTTTGGAGATGATCCCCTGCAAGGGGAACGTGTCAAAATCCGTGCCCTTGAGAATTGTTCCCTACTTGGAGGTCTAGGGTACATCCCAATTTATGTGAAGTATCAGAACGTTTGGTATCAGGTGTAGTAGTGTAGCTTCTTCTGCCCAACGAAACATGTTTAGTCCCAAACTCACTTATTACCCTCCAGTAATCAAACCTGGCAATGGAACCTCACCCAGTTCAAGATGCTTTTCCCATTCAAACCTCCATTTCTAATGGATTTTCTAATGGATTTCCCAGCCAGCCACGTTTTTTTGACACCGGATTGGCTTTACCGTCTCTGCCTGCTGTTTTGCACAGCGTTTTGCCAGCCGCCAGGATGATCAAATACGACCACGCCTGCCAAGTGGACCTCATGACCATCGGCAGTATTTTCACCAGCATGTGGGGGCACCAAGGGACCGAACTGTGCGACTCGGGAAGTGGCCAAAATCCAATCAAATCAACAATGGGTGCCCTCCACAAAAATGGAAGGAGATTTCAATAGATGAGGTGGGGGGTCAATGGTCGATATCTACCAAATGTTGAGTTTTAAGTGCCCCATCCAGCACTACTTCCGGTTTTTGATGGTTTTTGGTCCTGTGGTCAGCGAGATCGTGAGGTCCGACAACCTTCGCTTGATCTCGGAGTTGTCGCGACTCTTCTACTGGGTCTGTCGAAAATCTCAGGTGGCTCGTTGTGGGGCTGGTGGATAGTTGGCTTGTCATCCAATGTGGTGCCCATAAGGGTTTGTATCAAGCCACGGGGGATACCATGGGAAACACGATATAATATGATATAATCATGTATTTTGAGAACCTTCAGAAGCATTCAGAAGCATTCAGAAGAAGCAACAGCTACTGGTACCGATGATGACCATATCAACATCCACCACAGAGTCATGGATGAACCGTTGCTCCAGCTGCGCCAGGACCTCTTCGCAACCTTGGTCGAGTCTGCAGGGGGCAACATGGAAGGCACCCCTCAGTGTGCTCTCTTTTCTGTTTGGTGTCATGTTGCTTCAGTTTGCTGTTCGGTTCAGTTTATTGATTTGTGTATCACAACTTGTATCACATCCCTCTCGAGGCTAGTTGCTAGTTGTAGATGTTCTAGTTGCATCATTTTTCTATGCTTGAGTGTTAACTCCTCGTTGTTGCTAGTTGATATGTAATTCCCTTCCTTATGGATAAACATCTACAGTCTTTGTCCGCTTATTGTTCCAATCTACTTGTGCACCTTTCCCAACTGTATTTGGCTTCATTTGTGCTGGTTAACCTCAAAGATCTTAAAGTCGCAAGTGTTGCCGGTTCAAGCCTTTCCCGCCGATATTGAACTTTGTTGGTGGTCGAACCTTATTATATAATTATTAAACCACCCTTTTGTGTGTCTACTTCAAGCTGGTAAAGTGTCCCTTAAAATCTGCAGGTTTGGACACATTGCTCTACTCCTTGGTGGCCACCTGGAAGCAATCTGTGGACTTGCCACGAGCTCAGATTGTGGAAGTTGATTGAGCCAAGATGATGAGCCAAGTGAGCCCAAAGCTACCTACACCGGGTTGTCTCAAATTGTGGAACTGCAAACTCCTACATGGTTTCTTGATGTTTCTTGGTTTATCATCAATTTTGCTGTTCAAGTGGCCATAAAATCGGGTATCGGTATCCCTTGGTTTGAAGATCCGCCCAAATGATCCAAATGATCCAAAATGCGATATATCATGCATAAACTGGCATAAACACTCAAAGAATTCACCAGCCATGATGACATTTGCCATTTAACGTGGAGGCATCAACGACTGCAAGAAGGATCTGCTTCAGGTGTTGTTGTGCCGGTTGTTGGTTCTACAGTTGTATTTTCTACGCGGTCACGAAGTTGAAGGGGATTTCTGACCATGAATGCAATAGAATGACATAGAATAACATAGAATGAAATAAACTGAAATGCTCTGGATGCGATCATTAAACCTAAGTATGAGCCCAAACGTTGAAAACCCGTATCCATTGCTTCAATGAAGTCCTGAAGAACGGTCTGAGCTGGTCGCCCTGTAGTAGGTGTTAGGTCACTTCACTTGTGTTTTTTATTCTTGGACCTTGATTTTGAATACTGGACGAAGCTTCTGGATTGTACGGCGACTTCGGGAGAAATTCTTGAATTGCACAGACAATCTCCATCACCAAAAGTAGACTTCAACATCTTGGTGAATGAGTGAACAAATAAATCCAGCCGCAACTTTGATGTTGGCACCTATTTCGCTTGAAATTTACAAGCTGGATACCGCTTTGGGTGCAATTTCCAGTTGCCATCGTCGTGCAGGCTTGGAGGATTTCCTGATTGACGACTTGGAGCCGGGGTGGGATGGTTGGAAAACGTTGGAAACACTGGAGCCACGAGGTGTGTAGATTCTGTAGTGACAAGATGTGACAAGCACGGCATTGTAGGAGAAAACACAGAATTTCTTGTTAATGTCTGCGAAATCCCATTGCAACCTGCCTTATGGACTCCTTATGGTCCATAACGGTGCAGCCTTTCTTATATCCAGGTCACTGCTTTCCACCTGTCATCGTCATGGCCTTTAGATACATTTGGACTCATTTCGATGTTTCTTCTCATCCTGTACTGACAGCAAATCAGCAAGACATAGATTTCAAAGATGTCCTGCTGGATAGAGTGCCAGGTCCCAGGGTCCCAGTCCCAGGGTCCCAGGGGCGCAGAAATCTTAGGTTGGCAAATGCAATGGCGACACCCAAAATCTACTGGTACTCCTTAAAGCCAATGATTTATGATATTTATGATATTTTATGATCATTTTCCGGTTAGAATTGCCATGTTAAGATATATCCCATGTTAAACTATTCTTGAACCAACCCCAGTCAACTCGCACTTTTCTGGCGCAGGAGCGAACCGAGATCCAGCCCCTGAGCTTGCAAGAATTTGGCTGCGACCCCCGAAGTATCCCTGATTCTTCGCTGAGTTATACTGAGTTTGTGCGAAGAGTTTGGACATATCCAAGAGACAAAACCGCCATGTGAATGCTGTGAATGTCCTTGCATTTTGGCAGGTTTGGATCTGAGGAGTTCATCCACAAGAAGGAATACGCTGAGTTGGGACTCAGAATCACAGCTGGGCAGAAGCTGCTGAGTCACTGCTGAGTCACTGCTGAGTCGAGGTTGAAAATGGTTGAAAGTGAGCAACATCTACAACTATATCATACTAGAGCAATGCTAGATAAGAATTTTCCCTGCAAATGCCACATCTGCGAGAACACTATCCTCTCTTCGATATGTTGAGGCCTCACCACAGCCATAGAAATTGATGTTGGACGCTTCATCACCATTGGTTTTGAGACTCACCCATTAAGCAGTTCCATGGTTGGCAGATCATTTCTCTATCATCCACCCATCGTGGTCCAAGAAACTTAGGACAGACTCGTAAAGGATTCCAAAGTCTGTATATATATAATATATAATTATATAAATATATATAATTCCATGCTTTCCTGCATTCCATATCTCCCCAGTGGTGGAAACCACAGGCTTTCCACAGATTGGGATTCGGGCATTCGGCGATGCTGTGCGCCAGTGGGATGGCGTCCAAGGATGCGGCTCTGCTACATGAACTGTTTGTTGTGGGTTGAAGCCTCAAATGCCTCAACTTCGAAGCATAGAAAGCATAGAATCCACTGTGGTGTTCAAATCTGAGAGTCTGAGAGTACCATGTTCAGATATATATATATATATATATATGACTAATTAATCATCAATGGTCACTACATCCCTTATTGTTGATCGCCATTGAATCTGATCATCGACGGATCATCGCTTCCTTTAATTGATAGCTCTTCATCATGGAAAATCCAGTTGAACAAATATCAATCATATTAAGATCTCCAGTGACTTGCAAACCATCAAATGTATTCAAATGTTTGCTATAGCGTCAATTACTGCAAAGACCTCATCCTCTGTGATTTTTGCATCGCCATTGAGGTGTTGCTGCCACAAGAAAACCTCCGATGGCGATTGAAAGACTTCGGCCTCAAGGAGCGTCAGAAATTGGTTGGTTTCGGTCTTGGATCATCATAATGATATTTTTTTTGGAGAAGGCTAGGGTGGCTTAACCATCTCAACGGTTAGACTGTCTATGAAACTGTATTACTATTTGGACTTGCCTCAAATTCGCACTTGTTTTCTGAGTTGAGAGCAAAGGACCATGCGGTCTTTGACTTTGAATGTCTTAGATATATATATATATAGGGGCATACCAGATTACCGCAAGTGATCTCCAAATCATGCCGAGTCAGTGCTGATTGAGAGCTAGTACGGAAAGCCCAGCCTCAGGATCTGCATTTTGCCGTGGAGTTGAGACAACCCAACCTGCTGCAGGCCTGATAGCCTGAGGATGGCAGACAGCATATTCCCTTAAAAACCAAGATGGAAGGCTGCGTTTCTGAAGCAATCTGTTTCGTGTTATGACTGTTAGGATATGTTTCAGAGATTTTCCGTATGCGAATGTGTGCGAGATTGGAAGCACATCGAACTGAATATGCCAGGTGATTCTGGGAACCATGCGACACTTGCTGGACCAGGAACACGCACAGCAATGTCAGGAGAGCCAAGGTGGTTGGACCCCAAAAATGGGTTTTTCTCACCCTCAAATGGCAATGTTGAGGGCAAACATATTGACAAACTTTGAGAAAGTACTGTATAAGCTATGAACCTATAGGTGGTATCCTGTTTTCATTCAAATCCATATCAAGCGAGGGTTGACGCTCGTGGTTCACAATTCACAGTGCAACATGTACAGAATTATATATTATATAATATAGTCTTATATAGTGGATGCAAATGGAAAGCCGCCACACACACATTAAAGCAGGCTTTTAGATGGCAGGTTCTGTTGCACTGTTCCAACGAAACTGATTACAGCGCGATTATTTGAAACCAATTGAGACAGCCCTTTTCTACTGGTCGTTTTCGATGTTCCCAAGTCCATGTATTTTAAGTTGTACCCACAAAATGGTTCTTTATGTCCACATCAACCATATTCACCCATTCTATTTGGAGTTGTATGGTCCTGTCCAGAATGCAAGGAAGTCCCCAATCATTTGTACCACCTATTGAATAGACCAGCAAACCAATATTTTGTTTGCCATACCCACAGCGATATGTCCTGTCCACATATCCCCCCTCCTGGTTGGTGGTTCCAAGCTTTACTTCCCAAAAAACTCAGATGATCATTTGATCTCATTATTCACAACTATACTATCTATAGTCAATACTACTTGTCATATTTTTTCAGGGACATTGAAACCACCAACCTGCGACGAAGCCAGCGCATCAACGCAACGAGGTCACCAACTCATGCAATTCTTCGGGGAGCAGCTGTCACTTGGCGCCCCCGAAAACAATGCCCAGAATGTAACAGGGGGTAAGTAAGTAATGGGTAAGGTATGGTAAGATATGGTAAGGTATGGTAAGGTATGGTAAGGTATGGTAAGGTATGGTAAGGTATCAAGAATTGAAGAGTTTTCAGATACCCATATATTTTGATATGATTGATGTTTTTAATATATATATATATATCAAGGTATCTAACAGCCCGGCCGAGGCTCATCTTCCTGGATTTGGCAATCAGAGGCAAGTTTCCTGACAGCCCGGATGCCCATTGTGGAGGAGCAGACATGATCATGGTTGACCAGCTGACCAGCTGTTGATTTGCATTCGATTCTTAGATAGTTATTCTCTGTCATTATCATGACTGATGTTGGATCCTGATTAGTGTAGGGGGGACCCCCCCTCCCCCTAAACAATTTCAGGCTACACGTTAAAGTGATTTTTTTGGGGGACCAGGTACTGAATAAAATTGGATCAATTTATTTCAATTGAATTTCAATTGATTTTACTTTACTTTCCATTTACAGTACGTTCAATTGATTTTCATTTGATTTCAATTGATTTTCAATTGATCTCAGTTGCTTTCAATTTACTTTCAATTGATTTCAATTTACTTTCAATTGATTTCAATTTACTTTCAATTGATTTCAATTTACTTTCAATTGATTTCATTTACTTTCAATTGATTTCAATTGAGTTTTAATTGAGTTCACTTTACTTTCAGTTGGTTTCAATTTACTTTCAATTGATGTCAATTTACTTTCAATTGAATTCAATTGATTTTCAATCGATTTGGATTGATTTTCAGTTTGCTTTCAATTGATTTCAATTTACGTTCAATAGATTTAAATTTGTTTTCAATTGATTTCAATTTACTTTCAATTGATTTCACTTTACTTTCAATTGATTTTAATTCACCTTCAATTGATTTCAATTTACTTTCAATTGATTTTCAATTTAGTTTGAATTTATTTTCAACGGATTTCAACTTACTTTCGATTGACATCCTATAGCTTCCCATAGAAAGATCATAGACATAACATGGAAATAGATGGAAATAGTATAGGAACCACAAAGAAATCCCATAAGAATACCATAGAATTCCCATAGCATCCCTTCAGAAATCCCATAGTAATCTTTTAGAAATATCATAAACACATCATGGAAATCCCATAGGAATGCCATAGGAATCCCATAGAAATCCAAGAGTAATCCCATAGAAATACCATAGAAACCCAATAGACACATAATGGAAATCCCATATATAGAAACATCATAGAATACCAAAGAAATCCCATAGAAATCTGATAGAAATCCACTGGAAATCCCACAGACGTCCCTTTGAAATCCCAGAGAAATTCCAAAGAACCACCATGGAAATCCCATAGAAATCCCGCAGGAATCCAATAGAAATCTCATAGTGATCCCATAGAAATATCAAAGAAATCGAAAAGACATATCATGGGAATCCCTAAGAAATCCCATTGAAATATCATACAAATCCCATAGGAACCCAATGGAAATCCCATAGAATTCCCAAAGAAATCCTTTGGACATATCATAGAAATACCATAGAAAATTCCGTTTAAATCCCACAGTAATCTCATAGAAATATCATAGGAATCCAATAGAAATATCATGGAAATCCCAAAGAAACTCCATAGAAATATCATGGAAATATCATAGAAACCCCATAGGAATCAAAAGGAAATCCCATAGACATCCTTTTGAAACCCCATAGGAATCCCATAGAAATACCATAGACACCCCTTTAGAACATCCTTTTGAACCCCCATAAGAATCCCATAGAAATACCATAGACACCCCTTTTTAGAAACACCATAGAATATCATAGAAACACCATAGAATTCCCATAGAAACTTTATAAAAATGCCATAGAAACACCATAGCCATCAAGGAGAGGATGCCAGGAGAATTGAACTAAGTAAGAGACAACAGCTATAGCAAAGGACAGGAGAAACGGATTTTGGAACATGTTCCCTTCAAAAAAAACTTGACACAGTAGAGGACCACCACAGCACACATACTATTGAAGATCAGGGTTGTTCATGGGCTACCCCCTTGAACAATTGTTTGAGTGCTGTTTTTTTTGTTTTAATGGGTTTTAATAAGGCATCCTATATTTTGGAAATTAGACATTTTGAGGAATCCAAAAGAATGGAACAAAGAAAGTAAACAGATAAACATATAGGAAAAGGAAAGGAGAAACGGACTTTGGAAAATGTTCACTTCAAAAAAACTTGACACAATAGAGGACCACCACAACAAACATACTATTGAAGATCAATCTTGCTGATGGGGTACCCCTTTGAAGAATTGTTTGGGTGCTATGTTTCATATTTGTTTAATGAAGAATTCAATATTTTGTGAAAATGGTGCATTCTGATGAACCTAGATAAAAAAACTAAGTAATTTACAATAGCTACTCCAAAGAAGGGGACAAAGGTAATTATGAACATTTTCACTTCAGAAAAAACTGGACACACTCGAGGACCACCACAACAAACACATTAATTATTGAAGATCACTCTTGCTGATGGGTCACAACCTTGAAAAATGTTTCTTCAAACACGAGCTGGACACAATAGAGAACCACCACAACAAACAAATATTCATCAATTAATTAATTGATTAATTAATTAATTATTTTCAAAAATGCTGAAAAATGAAAAACAACAAAAAATGCCGGAAAAAAACTGAAACAAATGCTGGAAAAAAACTGAAAAAATGCTGAAAAACAATGACACAATACCGTACCACCCCAACAAGTATACTGATTCAGAATTATTTTTTGGAAAACTTGACACAATACACGATCCACACACTAATCGGGGTATAACATTATTCATATTGGAATATATTGGGGGGATGAAGCTGGTTTGGTCTTTTGGAGTATTTTTACAGGTGGTCCACTACAGTCCTTCGTAGACCATAGCCCCACTTCTGTTCACTGTGGCTGAAAAACTACCAGGCCTATTGCGTTTGCTGCTGGATGCAGTTGGGGCCCCAGTTGTTGCACATTGATGATCATGTGGATGATGTTGCATGATACTGCAGCAATTGTGATGCCATCACATGTTTATAGTTTATAGTGGATACACAACTCCCGTACTGCTAAACATATAAATTCTGTTGCTGGTAAACAACATGAACTTCACAGACATGTTGCTGCCCCTTTGCTCATTCTTGAACCTGCGTCACGTCGAGGTATCTATCCTGTCCCTTCAGCGAGATATGCAAAAACTTCTGGCAACGTTCAACATCTACGGGAAGTTGAACAGGCCAACTTCCTTAGTTTCAGAGCACCAATTGAAGCCCTACTTTGACATAGCCTACAGATGTTCATTCCATAAAGGGTTTGTCAGAGTCAGTGTACAATAGAATTAGTGATATTAGTAACACTTGGCGAGGAGATATAAAATGATACAAAGAAGCATATATAGTTATATATATAGGGTGGGTTTTGGTCAACGGCAGCGTTTTGTTGCAATCAAACTTGACACGCAACCGAGTGCAAAGATTCACGGCGTTATTGTTGGATCTGGGCCCAAGCAGCCTCCCAAAAGTCTAAGGCAACTTTGGCAAAGTTCTCAGTGTGTGTTTTAGAGCCTATGCTCCGAAGCGGGGCTTGCAAGCATGTTGGACTTTCCTGCAAACTCAGCAGGAGATTTTTTTCGCTTGCTTCCTTTTGAGGGCTATGTGGGAGTGCTTTCATTCTTTCCAGTTCGATGGCTTCGAGCAGCCGCCCAAGTTTCCAAGGGATGGCACTTTGTAGCGCAGTCCAGAGCCGCTGAATATGATGCTTCCGTGACCTGCAACAGGGTGGACGACTTGACGAATTTCGTATTGTCGTTGTCCCACTTAAAGTTGGTCTCCGCGATCCGTTGCGACATTTCACGGGTGGTCTGTGAGTGGCGTCGGGAAGATTTTCAGAGATGTTCGGTGGAGATTAGGAGCCGTTTCACAGATTTGGACCGGCAGCGGATCTCACATGTGACATGGAAGTGTGGCTGTTTGTACTTCGTCCAGTATCACGTATGGTTTCTCCGCGACATTTTTCCAAAGCTCAAGTCCTTCAAGCTTCACGTCCCCAGCCGGAAAGACCCCGACACCCTCCATGTCAACAGTTGTTTGAACTGGCTTACAGATGTGATGCGTGTGTCACTTGGACGGCTATCTCTTGGTTTTCTTCGCAAATGACCACGGGTTTTGGCGAAAGCATGCAGCTCTGTATTTTTTTATAGGAATGAAATAACTGATAACTATATGTTTTATGTGCCTGACACTTTTTTTTAAAGCTAGTTTTGCATGTTTTTGCCATATCATTTGGGATGTTGACCCCCAAAAGTGCACCGTAAGTTGTTTTGTTATGTTCCAACATTTTCCACGTGTGCTCGCAAAATTAGCTGGCCGACAGAAATTGCATTCCAGGTCAGTGGTCGCAGAACGTGTCAGAAAGAGAGGTTATAAAACAAGTATAAGTTGGTCTGGCGATGACTTTCCGCGGCGTATGAGATCGCTGCATTTGGAAGGCCTATGCTTTAGCATGCCTGGAGGTCCAGAACTTGATGTTGACATCTTTGAGAGTTTTCTCTCCAAGGACTTGGGGCAGCATCAGTGTCGATGGGAGACATGGGGGCTTCAATGTCTTTAAGAAAGATTGCTCAAGACTTAAGACTCAAGATGGTGATTCAGGGGGCCACTAATAGGTCCCGGGGCCGATCACCTTTATGGAATAAACACCGCTTCTTACCATAGCTCAAGCCACTGCTGGTAGCAAGCATCAGTGATGGCTGCCTCTTTCCACCATGAAAGATGACTTGAGGCGGAAATCACAAAGGTAGGAATGACATTGGGGAGCCATAACTTGAAAAGTGTCATGAAATTCTGCGACGGTTTCAATGGACAGACTCTCCTATCTATTGCCTTGATTTTAGCAACGTGGACATCAGCCCAGATGACCTAGATATACCACGATATACCTATATAGTATAGATCATCCTAGATCGTTCTACTTGTAGTTCGATAGCTAAATTGTCAAAGGTAGGACAGAAGCGTGACGTTGGTCCCAGACTGGTTGAAAGGAAGGAAACTTGACAAGACCCCCCAACCTTGGGTCGTGAGTCCCTGTAAATCCTTGTAAATCATTGTTAATCCATATCCTTCCACTAAACCTATTAGTATGTAGGGATATTTAGGGTATTGTAGGCTTATGTCCCATCCTTGTAGACACGTGTTCATAGCGTCCAATTCCCTTTGGCAGGCTGTTAATGTCGTAGCCATCTATCTGGATATGGATTCTGAATGGTGGGAGACGTGGGGATGCAAATTTGAGCTTGGCATCCTGGATTGGATCAAATCTCGGCCAAGGATGATTCGATTTGACATGAAAACTTTGAACAACAGCCTCCAAGCGCAGATTCAGGCGCTATTATTGGACCAAAGAAGAAGAATAAGAAGAAGCAGAAGGTGACAGCAGCCTTGCAGCTTTTCCGCTTTGTTGGCGTCGGAGATTGCTTGGCAAACGTCAAAGTCGTGGTTTGCCGATGGCCCGACTCCAGACTGAAATGATTCTCTTGCAGTTCGAGATGTATCAGAACGGTGAGCATTTCTTGGAGCAGCCTGATTTTACGATTCTCGAGGGCATTATGTAGTTTGATATTTGGATATCAATGAGATCTACGAAGGCAACTGCCTGTACTTGCACCGGACAGTTGAAGCGGAGACAGCGACCAAGAAAGGGCCGTGCTTTTGCGACTGAGACAGAACAAGTTTTTTTCTTATTGGCTATAGAACCATATAGAACCTATATAGGTCGATCTCCATATTCTTATTGGCCAGTCCGAGAGTTGGTTGGTGAATGTCACCAGTCTTCATACTCGACAACCATAACAACCCACATATTGACAGACTGTTGTTCCACGCATGAAACAGCTCCTGATACAGGGATCGATTTGGTGCTTCATCGTCATCGCTTGCCAGATTTCAATGTTGTTGGAACCAAAAGCCAGGGTCTCCAAACACTACTAATTTTAAACCATACTAAACCATACTAAACCCACATTGATTTGGTTCATTCCCAAATTCTTTGATCAACTGGTGATAGTAGCCACATTGTTCCAGCAAATCAACAGATCGCAGGCTGGTGCGCAAGTATCGCGTGGCTCGCCAAGCTGTGGCGAATTAAAGCTTCGGAGAACAGAAAACCAACCATGGCAGTGGAGAATCACTGGAAATTGTCATAAGTGGTTTAATGTGGTTGATTAATGTGGTTGATTAATGTGGTTGATATATATATATATGTTAATATACCTCGTCAAGGTATGTTAACAATGTTGAGATTGCGATTTTCCCAGCGGGGTATCTTTAAAACATGATGCACTGAAATCTGATGAATCCCAAAAGTCGAAGTCCCAAAACCGTGTTGCGCCATGCTGTAATGCCAACATGCTGGATATGGTCGCTTCACGTTTAGCTAGCAACGCTGCCTGTAAAGAAGGATGGTGGATTGGTGCCAAGGAACATTGATGAACTACCAGAAAGGGATAGGTCCTAGATCATTGGATCCCCCAAGAAGGATACCAAACTGTAAATCCCTAGGATCGCTGTGCAAGCTCACTAGGATCGAAACAGCAACCGCGATCACCGGAAGATTGAGCTGGCTGTCTTGCCAGAGCCCAAGTTTGATCCATCAGAGCTAGATGTTGAAGTTGATGTAAGCCGTTTCCGTATCAGGCGCGTGATGTCACAAGTTGCAGTACATCCTGCCCACAGATTAGGCCCGCAACCGGAACTGATTTGGTCGAAGAACACTGAAGCCTTTGAGAAGAATGCTTGCAGTTCTACCGTGATAGGGTTCTGGGAGAATGCAACCTACCTTGCCACAACTCTTGGTTGGGAAAGGGAAGCACCCCAAGCATTTCAATCGATTTTGGTTGGTGGCTCAGCAATGCCAATTTCCTTCTGTTATTTAACAATTCAGCCTTTGAATGTCAATGAAAATAAAATATGTTTATATGTACGTATACATATAATATGATTAATATGTATTTTCAAGGCCATATCCCATGTTCCTCATTGGTTCAAGGTCTTCCTTTGACACTCGAAATGGTGGCAGTTCCTATGACTTGGTCCCATTTTGGTTGCGGAGAAAGTATCGGGTGGGGTCACTCCATTGTTTTTGGACAGGTGCCCATCATGTCCGCCACTGTTGCCAGAATTTTTCCAAGGATTGTCGATTGGACTCCCTGTTTTAACAATTGCATACCACGTTGTTTGTGGTTTCCTATGGCTTTCTCACTATTTTGGCATCCAAAAACAGTATAAACAGTTAACTACTGACAATAGCATACTATGGTACGTGAGTTCTATGTTTTTTTCACGTAAATACACCACATCGTAGTTCATCTCCCATACCCCAAGCCCTCGCTCGTGTCAGGCTTTGTGGCCAAGGTGCCGGATGTCTTGCTCCCTTTCGCTTGTCGAAAATCTAAAATTATTGTTGATTCAAATTCGGAATTGCCATGTTAATAGTCTCAGTTGTGTTGGCGAAATTCCCATCCGTCTTTTCAATCCTCATTTGTTTCTCATGTTTTCCTCTAATTGTCCATGTTTGCCCAAAATTTGTCCAACATGTTGCGGCAGGATTTGGAAGCAGACGAAGTGTATCCTCCTCGAGAGGAGTTTGAAGAGCAGTCACTGGGCATAGACTGATCCACCAGGTAACTGGGACCTCTAAATTGGGAACCCGGGATCAAATTCTATGGAAAACCAAATGAAATTGGGAAAACCCATGGAAAAACCAGGTTTGTTCAGGTTCCACTGATTGATCACTGCTCAAACCCGCTGAATGTGTGCATTTGAACTTGAAATGTGATCAACAAACATGAAGTTGGTATAGTAGGCAAATTGAATGTTGATTCTTCACTTCAGCATCTACACCTCAGCCACGTCGCAGCGCCGTGAGGCTTGAAGGTTGGATAAAGCGAAAAGACGAGCACTGCAAGACAATCGCCTCCCTTCTGCTGAACCTCTTTGAGGCACACTGTCAGCTCAGCCATGGAAGATGGGATCCAGGGCTAGCTTTTGAGGTACCGGTCAAACACTCAGATATGTCAGATATGCCAGTGAAATTCAGTGAAAATCCCAAAAATGAAGTGAACAGACATGGCTAGACGAGAACAGACCCATAGATCTTTCACACAAAAATTGGGGTCCCAGGTTTGTGGCGTTCAGATTTTACCCATTGAAACATCATCAGCTGATTTGGCTACTCAACAAGGCTTTTCCATATAAATACTCAACAAATCTCAACAACATCAGCCTTTTCTGCGTCCAATCTGTTGCTACTCCATACTTACCTGAGCATCTTGAGCCATGGAACATGAAAATCGGAGCACCAAGGCACCCATTTTTGTGCCATGAACCAACCGCCGACGTTGTTGGAACACGCTAGGAGCAGAAGTTCCAACAGCAAGATCCAAGTCGTTTAGAGACCACCCTGATCAGCATCTTCGACTGGTGGCAGGCAGGGAGCAGCTACACCTTGCGGATATGCCATGGGAATCCATGGGAAATATCCTGGGAAATGCCATGCAACTTTTCGCAAACCGCAAATTGGGATGGTTTATATAATTTTATATACATGTTCATAGCATCGTTTTCTTTGTTTAGCAAGTCTGTTTTTTGTTGGGTCAATCCCACATGTTTGTATGTTTTTGACGGTTAAAACCTAATTCATTGCTACTTCACTTCTCGGCCATGTCCCCACTTTGGTGATTGATGGCAATCCAAAAATTACGAGCATATCTCATAACTGATAGCCAAGAGTTAGGATCAGTTAAGATTCATTAGGATATCAAATGATATCAATGGTTTCTTTTGATGCCTATTGATGGCTATATTATCACTATTATCACCAGGTAAATGTCCCATTGATGGCCACTCTCCCAGTGAAGTGGCGAAGGTGAACAGCACTACCAGCTATGAACGGGATCGAGAGGCTCCGCTGACTACCAGAGGGTATTTAGGTTTGTCCCAAAAAGGTAGATACCCCATTTTATGACCAGTAATGCGGAGTGCCAAATTTTGACACGATGCTGAATCATGCTGCCCTATACTTTGCCTATCGTTGCCTTGCCTGCGCATATGCGAGTGACCATTGATGCAGCTTGACCGATATGAGTTGATAATGATCTTGGCAGAGATCGAATATGCAAAGCCGCTTGAAAATTAGGATTCAGACAAGTAAAAGACATGCTGATTCTCTTAGAGAGGCAAGTCTAATTGCACTTTTTTCTGAGCCAAACTTTGATCATGGCGAGGTCTCAGAAGCGCGTAGAGTGCTCAGCAAGTCATTCTCTTCACTGCCAAGAAAGTTGTGGTGTAGAGAGCATGTCCGTAACACGGGAAAACGTGGCTGATAAAGTAGGTTTGAATGGATGTGATATTGAATATTGACAATCATCTTCTACGGACGCTGTAACCATCCACTTTCAGGGAAGTGAGATTGTCAGTTGCACAAATGGTTTATAATTTACAATTTATAGGGCAGCAAGAATGTCGAAAGGTTGGGACCAAAGTGAGCTCCACCATTTCATGGCCGAGGCACTGCCATCAGTCTTCCAGATCGGTTGAAAGTGGCGATGATGAGCCCCTTGACAAAGACGTGGCTGCCACCAGGGACCTAGGAATATGTCTTACATTTTGGGACTTGGCCAACATGCACTTGAGAATTGCAATACCAAGCCAAAAAACCTGGCACTAACATGCACGAACCACATAGCCAATGAGGTGCTGGGAGTAAGATCAAGTAATTAGATACTGTACCTTGCAGATGACCTGTTTGACAGACTAATTGGATGGATTATGTTGATTAGATTTCAATCCAACATATTAGGGATAAACATCGGCTAAATCATAAAGGATTGCTATTTTGGGGGAATTATGTTTTTCCGTTTTGGGCATTTTTTTTCGATTTCTGTTTCCCTGCTTCTTTGCTTTTCTGCTTTTCTGCTTCTCTGCTGTTATAATTCTTTGCTTCTATGCTTCTCCAGTTTTCTGCTTCTTTGCTTCTCCACTGTGCTGCCTCTCTGCTTCTCCGCTTTTCTGCTTTCCCCTGCTTTTCTGCTTTTCCAGCTTCTGTGCTTCTCTGCTTTCTGCTTTTCCCTGCTTCTTTGTTTTGTCGAAATCTGCTTCTCTGCTTACCTGCTTTTCTGCTTTTCTGCGTTTCCCTCTGTTTTTGTTTCTCATACTGCAGATAATGTTTGAGAAACATCATAATCAACCATAAATAAACCCGAAACCAACCAAAGAACCACTAAAACAACTCCAAGTAAACCCTGAACACTCCCTGAATAAATTTGAAACTAATCCTAAATAAACCTTACACCAGCCCTAAATAGATCTTAAACCAGACCTAAATAAATCTTAAACCAACGCTAAACACACCTTAAACCAATCTGAATAGGTCCTACATCAACTCTAGATAGATCCTAAACCAAGCATGGAAAAGACCCTAAACACACCCTAAACCAGCTCCAAATAAATGCTCACCCACGCCTAAATAAACCGTAAACCAATCCTAAATAGATTTTAAACCAGGCCTAAATAGATCCTGAATCAACCCTCAACAAACTTCAAACCAACATAAACCAACCCTAAATAGGTCCTAAACCAACCATAAATAGATCTTAAACCGAGCCTAAATACAACCTAAAACACACCCTAAAAAGATCCGAAACTAACCCTTATTAAAAAAAAACTAAATTACTTTACTTCGTGTGATCCCCACCATGACATTTATATATTTTGTTACTGGCAAATCTTCTGGCATTCTATCTGACATATTTTCTGACATTCTATCTGGCATATCTTCTGGCATTCTACCTGGCATATCTTCTGGCATATCTTCTGGCATTCTATCTGGCAGATGTTCTGGCATATCTTCTGGCATATGTTCTGGCATATCTTCTGGCATTCCATCTGGCATTCTATCTGGCATATCTTCTGGCATATTATCTGGCAAATCTTCTGGCATTCCATCTGGCATTCTATCTAGCATATCTTCTGGCATATTATCTGGCAAATCTGCTGGCATTCTATCTGGAAAACATTCTGGCACTTTATCTGGCATATCTTCTGGCATTCTAGCTGACATTCTATCTGGCATTCTATCTGGCATACCTTCTGGCATTCTATCTGGTATATCTTCTAACATTCTATCTGGCATATCTTCTGGCACTCTATGTGGCATATCTTTTGGCGTGGATACTCGCGGTTGAGGTCCGGCAGGGAACACTGGGCGTGGATGGTCGTGGTTCAGGTCCGGCAGGGAACACTGGGCGGGGATACTCGCGGTTGAGGTCCGGCAGGGAACACTGGGCGTGGATGGTCGTGGTTGAGGTCCGGCAGGGAACACTGGGCGGGGATACTCGCGGGTGAGGTCCGGCAGGGAACACTGGGCGTGGATGGTCGTGGTTGAGGTCCGGCAGGGAACACTGGGCGGGGATGGTCGTGGTTGAGGTCCGGCAGGGAACACTGGGCGTGGATGGTCGTGGTTGAGGTCCGACAGAGAACACTGTGGATCGCGAGTCGCAGTTGAGCAGGAGGACGAGGAGGACAACGAGAGGAGGAGGAGAGGAGAGGAGGAGGAGGAAGAGGAGGAGGAGGACCAGGCAACTAACATAAAATCTAACAACCCTCACCTGGCAGGTGGGGAATAAACCGACTATACACCCTAACTCTAAAACCAACCCTTAAAAAACTTAAAACCAAATAAAACCCGTTAAACTATATAACTCTAAAACCAACCCTAAATGAACCCTAGTTGCAAACTACCATGTTACATGGACAGTTCGACCAACAAAATGTTGCAAATTCCATCGAAAATGAAAGATTCGAACTTAAAAATGCTGCAAATAAATACCATTTAAACGGCAGCTTCCAGCTCCAAAATGTTACAAATTCCACCAAAATGCTGCAAATTCTATGGAAAATGAGAGGTTCCAACTCCAAAATGTTGCAAAGACAGTTGAAATGGCAGCTTCCAGCTCCAAAATGCTGCAAATAGCAAGGAAAACGGGCAGAAAAAACAGATCCAAAAAAACATCACAAAACGGGAAAAACATAATTCCCAAAACAATTCTGGACCCAATCATAAATAAACAACATTTGTGGATCCAGTGGCAAGTGTTGGCCTGATCACAACCATCACTTCCACTTGCCTGTGGCTGCTTGGTATTGCCAAAACCGTCCTCTAAGTTTCAGGAGCAGAGGAGAAGCAAGCTCTTACCAGTTGGGAAACTTAGAACTGGGAAGCTTGCTGGGGTCATGGGTATCATCTTAAAGGGTTTGCCAGGGACATCGAGATCTTATCAAATTTGCTAGACACGGGCTGTGGATACATGCGAAGTCAGAATCCACGGCTACGGAGGTATGGAGACCATGTCATCCTGCGCGCCCTACGAATGTGTTGGGAGCCCATGTGATAGGTACGGACGGTACGGACGTGATCAGTATGGACTTCTGGGCTTCCCAAACGGTTTTCTTATGGTGTGGTCATGCCATGCTATGCCATGGTGGAATTCCGGTCACGTGTTTGGCTATATCCCCCAAGATATTTCCATTCCTGAAATCCCAACGTTTGTTTCATCAAGTCCCATACCCAAAATAACCATCCCCAACACCACCAGAAATGGGTTGTATAAATCCTCCAAAATGGGAGGTTGATTCTTTGGTTTTACCACATCAGTTATAGATGAAAGGACCACTACCCCAGTTGATGAATGGTCCTCCGGTCATTCCCCACAGGTGGTGGCACTGTCCCTGTTCAGCCGGTTGGCCTTGGAGCCGAAATTCAAGAGGCAGCTGGGTGATTTCAGGGTGATTTCGCCAGCCATGGCCCGAGTCATGGCCATCAAATAAGAGGGGAAATCGTGAGTGGATGGAATGGGCACCCCTTTTTTCAGACAAGCCGAAACGAATCCGAATGAAGGGTTTTGGAGCCTCCAAAATGATGATTGGATATTTGAAATTACTTGGAAACCAGCAAACTGCTGGACCTAGAATTAAATACCAGATAAGGTTTGGCATTGATTGATGGATTTATTCTATAGACGGGACAAGTCTGAGACCGAAGATACTGGTGATACAAGAACCAAATTATGGAGGCGTATGGTAGACCTTTGGGGCTAGTTTCATACTGACAATACTGGTGCCTTCAGCAAGAAACATTGGGGGATGCAAGCAATCAAAGTGATGATACGAACCCCATTGGTAAACGGTGATATAAAAAAAACAATCAACCATCAAATGCTGAAATATACTGGAGAGGTTGGACAGATTGCTGTGTCTTGACTCCTTCATACGCTTGTTGATCGTAGAAGCTTTGAAACAAGGCAGCACACTACACATAATATACGCGTAAAATCCATCGTTTAGAAGCCTCTAGCTGTTGGAAGCAGCTACACAGGTTACCAGGCTACATAGGTTACACACCATGTGGGATTCTTGATGAAGCACCCGACTTTGTGGACCTCGAAACCATCTGTTGCGAGGCTGTTCTACAATCACTTGGAGCCTTTGCTGGCTTGTGTTTGTACGGGCATTGCTGCAGAAGCTCGGGAGGCGAGTTTCCCCATCAACATAGATCAACAGTGTCGGGTAATACCTTGAGGTATACTCCTTTTCTAGACAAAGCCGTAGCCCCAAGGAATCCCAATTATTGCTGGGAGAGAATCGAAGAGGACAGCTCAGCTGATATTTAATGATACCTGATTCAAGATCTAGCGACTGCTTGCTGATCATGCTTGTAAGTTGGTTTATTCTGCAGGTAACCCAAGAGCAAACGATGAACCAATGTACCCTGTGGGATCTAACATGGCATCATGGTACTGGCAAATCCATAAAATCACATTTGTACGTATGTGTAATGGGATGGTCATCGATAAATGGGTACCACTGGGTGGTTTTCCATTGCCAAGCTGGTCAGGCAGCTGCGACCTTGGCGAATCTCATGTGGGCTCCAGATCTCAACCAAGAGCAGCTGGCTGGACGACTCAGATTTTGATGAATGCTGGGTGTAATACTGAACTTGATTGATATGATATGGGGGTTTCCTAAAATTGGGGTATCCCCAAATTATTCATTTTAATAGTAATAGGGCTTTCCATTATAAACCATCCATTTTGGGGTAGCCCCATTTATTGAAACCTCCATATGTTAGAAACAGCTGGACGTGATTCGATGGGCGCAATTCGGTCGTTGAGTATTTTGTTATGAATTGACTGATGACTGGGATGTCTCTGCAGTGACCCTGAAATCTACTGATAGCTGGGGTCAGCTGGTCATGGCGCCAAGGTGTGTTGGCTGAAGTTTGATGGATCAAGGCCAGAGAAAACTGCTGCTTCCTCAAACTAGAGCACTGGCAAAGATACACATTGGGGTCGATCATTCCAACACTTGGACACTTGGACGTCGTTCCATCCCATGCTCTACAAAAGATTCCCCGAAAATCGCTTGAGGAGCGGTAGTCTGACATAGTCTGGTTTCTAATGATGGTTAGTTTATACATAAGCTGCATAAGCAGGTACACCCAAATTTCAGAAACACCAAACTAAACTGAGCATGTTAAAACATTGGCGTGGTAGGTCATAACTTTGCAGCGTCGAAGAAGAGGGAACACAACACAGCTGCACACAACTGTGGCGGCCCTTGGTATTTCAGGATATCATTGATTCACGTAGTTACCCTAGGGTAAACTAAGATTGATGTGGAACATGACCCAATCACAGATGATTTACCTATTAAGAATCATCAATCACCATGATTCACCATCAATCACCATGAATCAGCCCACCTTCCTTCCTGTGCCAGTTGCCTTACAGTGGACGCGGCCAATGTGCTGCTCCCGGTGCGCGCGGGTGACCCGAAACCCGTGGCCATTGGCCAGGGCATGTGTGGAGCCTCAGGGTGGAAGGGTGTGAGGTGGTTGGTGTGGGCAAATATCCAGCGAAAGATGGGAAGTTTAACATAGATACATAAATGATATATACAAGTCTAATCAAGTATATAATCATTTACATATTATACAGACTTGAACAGAAACACAAACATGCATTTAAGAAACACTTACAAAGCAAGCAACCTGCAAGAACTTTTAAAAATGAGGTTTTGCAAACAAACATCCAATACGTGCAACGAGAACTTGAGGAATTTACTGCTGATTTGTGTGTATTGCAATGCTCGTCCATCCCTGTAGTACTCAGCATTTTGGGGCCAAAATCGATGTGCCTATTTTTCAGGGGACGAGTCGAAATCAGGAAGTAACAGGGTGTGCTATCCCCCACATTATAGGTGGATGGGTGTGGAAGGTTCCAGGTTCCTTCTTGTTTCCCATCATCGATTGTTGGTTTAAAAATTGAGGATCGCTGGGAAAATTGGCCCCAGTTGACCAGCAATATCTAGCAAGATCCGATCATATCCACCGTTTTCCTGGGGATCTCCAGTTTTCCCAGTTGCCAGGTACAAATCCACATGGGGAGTGGAGTTCGTCAGTGACTCTTGCCACTTGGCTTGAAAGGAGGGTGTGACTGAACATATGGTACCTCTAAATCCACCAGTCTATAAGTATGTGTGTATAATATATATATATATAATTATATATATAATTATATATATATATATATATGTCCTTCACTTTTCTTTTAACAACGGCCGTTAAGAGGCCATACTATATCCCATTTGTTGACAAACCCATGTCCATTACTTGTGATATGTTTTGAACACATGGCGAACTGTATCTGTATCTCAATATCAAAAGATTGTAAATGCACCTCACGTCAAATTCCAGGTGGCTTACTGCACGACTTACAAGACTGGGATGAACCCTGGACTTATTGCTCCCTCATCTATCAGGATGATTGACCCCTAAAGCATCCAAAAACAAGAAATAAATGGAGTCTAGTGTAGTGGATTATATTTGGAGACACCCTACTTGCCAACCATCAATTCTACCTGTCCTACCCTGAGCTTGATCATGGCAATTTCCCGAGGTCTAACCTTCCATCCAGATGGTTTCAAGACCTACAACGTCCCTGCACTCCTTACCACGGTCAGCGGCTTAAATATATTAAATGCGATGCAGGTTCAGTGGTGATGATTTGCACTCCCCATTGTCAAGTTTCAGTACCAGTGGGTATTTCTTGATTTCTTGGTTGACAATTACTTGATATATATATATATATATCTACTGTTTTTTTTGAGACGATCAATGGAAAAACGGCGACCTGGTATTGGCCCCTCATCCGGGAGTTTTGCTGTTGAATTGAGAGGCATCACCACAGGATACGTTCATGAACACCTCGCAAAGTCAGAAGCTCAACCGCTGCTATCACCTGACCTGACCACTCGGGCTATGGCCATCCATGGCTTAGGCCATGGGAAGGTTTAGTCTACCCATTCTGCTAAATAGAAATAAAGATGCAAACGGGATAATTTAAATGCAACAGGAATCCTCACCACTGTTGGTTGGTGATGCTGTGCGACATACCAATTGTACCCAATTGTCGGTGTTCAATGACCATGGCGCGAATGAGATGTCAAGAACTCGCTCTTGAATGGTAATGTATAGATCCTGGTTGGACGCTATTGATCCCAAAGCATTGGCATGGAAGGTCAAAATGAGATCTTAAATTGGATGTCACAACATGTCACGAGCAGATGTGGTCCCAGTTCCATCGTCAATGACCAGTTGATGGTTGCCGCCTAGGTCCGTACCAGTGGTATCACGAGCCAAATCCCCGGCACTTCACAATCAGTTGCTGGTGCTGCTGGCTTGTCATTTCGGGTCCGCGGTACCCGCGGAGATACCGAATTTGTTCTATGCATCACTCGGGCTCCGCCGTGGGTCCAGTCACACCTCTTGGGGCTCTGCCAGGTTCTTTTGGCCGCTGTGCAGTGATGATGGGCTGAAGAGTAGAGAGGACCTGGCAACGGAAGCATGGGCGTATCGATGCTACAAACACAAAATCTGATGATGATGATGATGATGATGGTGGTGGTGGTGGTGGTGGTGGTGGTGGTGATGGTGATGGTGATGCTGATGATGATGATGATGATGATGATGAACATGATGAACATGATGATGTATTGGTACATGACAATATTTTGTGATGATATTATACATGATTGATTGATATTGATTAATTTGATAAGTAAATGACGATCGTATAATATCGCATGCATGATAAACTCGCGTGCCGTCACAATCTCATCATGTTGTGAAGGTTTCAATGTTGGAAGGCGGCAACAAAAAAAGCTTTCAACTCACCGTGCAGGGTGGCTGCCAATGTGTGCTGCTCCAAAGCTCTCCGTACTCCTGACATGGTTGAGACGAAGCGCAACTACCCGAACCCATATTCTCCATGTGTGGTATGATATTTGGAACGATGGTTTATGGTGGTTTTTGCATATGATTAACTATGCAAAGAAAAACCTTTATTCAGGCTTGTGACTTCTGAATTATTGTATATTATTGTAATTTATTCAGGTGTTGCTCTTTTGACAGACATTTACCCAGAACATGACCCACATGTAAGTAAACATTCATTTATGACGCATATGATATGCATTCGCATGCTGTCACAGATTCTAGACAGTGCCGACACAACCAGATTTCTAGATCTCTTCCGGATACCTGTCTCTCGTGCAGAGTTTGATGATAGTAATAAGCATTCATTTTTTTCTCACGTTTTCACCAAGGATTCATACCTTTTTCTCCATCAATTCCTCCCATTTTTCCCCTCGATCCCCCAGAATCGGCGCAGCCAGGCCTGAGATGTTGATTCAAATCTTTGTTCACTTCGACAAGGAAAACCCGGAGGGAATTTGGACCCTGGTGGACTATGAAAGGACCCTGGGCTGTGGGGTATGGGTGGGTTGCAGGCGGCCAGAAATCGGCACGGGTTGGGGGATGGCTTGGGGCATGGGGTTGGCCAAAGTTCTGCTGTGAGTATTTGACGAATTTCTTGAAGATTGTACCTGCAAGACAGTTTGAAAAACATAGGGTGCAGCTCCATGCCTCAAATCGCATTATCAGAGTGCAGCATTATCACTAATCAGGGTGCAGCTCCATGCCTCAGACTGTCCGGTAAACCCAGGTGTACCTACGATTCGAATCAGCCCGGCATCCTTGCAACACGGCACTGACCAAGCCTGCAAGGACGAAACATGCCATCAAGACTCCAAAGTTGAATCCTGGTTGGCACTTGCCAGACACCCAGTACAATGTCCTGGCCCAGCTCTGTATTTGGCCAAATTGCATAGAATTCCAGCTGTGCCAAGCGGTGCTTGGTTGAACATGTGTAAGCTCCATGCAGCAGAACCCAGCAAGCGTGTCTACTGATAGCGTATAAAAACATATAAAACTATTGTACTTATAGCGTATAGCTACTAATAGCACTTAGAGCTACCAATGGTGTATAGAAGGTCACTCCGACCGTCATTAGTGACCCAGTTTTGCATGCTCTTAAACCGCACTATCCGAACCCAACCCCCATCCCTATGTGTCATTGGATTGGATGAAGGGAAAACCTACAGGAAGCTAAGAGAAGCTAAGAGAAACTATGTTTTTTACAATCAAATATGTATGTTCCTGCTAATGTTGCCTGCATCCAATGGTAGGATAGTGACTGCTGAGCCTTTGAACTTTCTAAGGTTGACAGTAGTCTCATCTACAACCGAAAGCCCTGCGCAGAAGTACAATGGAACCAAGTTCTTCCTGGACGAATGGTGCAAGCGGTTGCCAAAAGTGCGGGGCCTCTGCTTCGGCTGACTCCATCTGATTGCCTACATGGGTATCATTCGCTAAACTGGCTATCTTGCCCACCACGAGCGAATGATATGTAGCTTCAAACCCAAGTCAGGGATATGGCTATCGGACCTACCCAGATGATGTGTCATTTGCCTGCAATCCCAAGGTTTGGGCCCGGCTCTCAGCCGAGAAGTTCAAGGATATAAACTGGCTATAGGTTGACCTTCCAAATTGGGGACTTCCGTGCTTTTGAATTCAGAGGTCGTTCCAGGATGTTCCAGGTAGTTCTGTGAAGCAGATCCGATTAGATTGATTTAGATTGCATGTTGCACTATTATGTCATTATGTTCTCATCATGTTTCTGTTTCTGATCTTCAACTGAAAACGGGTGCCATTGTAAACCCACCAAGATCCTGAACGACTTCTACAACCTCGGCAACGATCTGAGTCGAGGAGGTGTGGAAAACCTGGTGTGAAAAAGGTTGGGGATGGATGAAGAGACTGAAAATATATGAACATGCCATTTATTACATTTGATTACTATTTATTCACTTTTTGGATTCTTTTGGTCTACATTCTACACTTTGTTTGGTCTTTTAATTATGTACAATGTTACAATGCACTTTTGTTTTGGGAGGGGGTACCCAATTCTGACCCAGGTCCAATTCCCACCCGCAAGCTGTGGCTCCAGGGCGCAAGCCGTTTGGCCTCATCGCAGACTTCCGGATTTATGCCCGGTGCTTGTCAGATGATGAGGCTGCACAGCTAGGGCTGGGGATGTTTTCGGATTTTTTCGGTGGTGCCTATGGGGTCACACATGATGCATGGGTGTAGGCTAGGTCAGCTTTGAAGTGGCTGGCAGATTATGAAATATCAATAAATATCATATGAACGTATATGAACTATTCAAATTAACATATGAATCCAATTTTGCATCCAGTGTTTACCCATGTAATTACCAACCATAAAAGTCGTTTGAATTACATGCACGCGCTTGGGTGCTGCACATTGCTGGGCCCCGGAGCATTGGCAGGTCCGAAAGCTTTCGAGGGCAGAAAACACCGACAAGCATCCGGACCAAATCGTTCCTTGGAAGATGTTGCCAGGGTGGGAATGCTCGGCATGTACCGTGCCTACCTGAGAGGGAAATATCTGGGTTGCACCAAACCCAGGTTGACCCATGCGGATCCTCTGTTTAGGCAAAGCCATACAGCGATGCATGCAGAACAAACTAGAGTGCCCTCATTCTAGCAAGACGCCCGAAGACTTCTTTTTACAATCCCGAAGGGTACATAGAATCTGTAGACTGATCAATATTCAATCAGTGCACACTGCACACTTGGGGATCGCATGTTCGTTTGGAAACATAATTAATTAATTAATTATTAATCAGTTTGCATTTCTGATCTTCCAGACTTATTTTGTTGCTGGATAAATGATGGCAATCCCTTTGTATTTTGAACTCATTATTTGGCTCTATATATCTTTGCTATTATCATATATGTTTATATAGGGAGGACCATCAAAAAAAAATCTCATCAAAAAAAAATAATTCATCAAAAACAAAATAAATCATCAAAAATAAATTTAAAGAAATGAAAGAAAAGGAAGGAAGGAAGGAAGGAAGGAAGGAAGGAGAGAAGGGAAGCAGGAAAGGAAGGAAAGAAGGAAGGAGAGAAGGGAAGCAAGAAAGGAAGGAAGGAAGGAAGGAAAGAAGGGAAGCAGGAAAGGAAGGAAGGAATGAAGGAAGGAAGGAAGGAGAGAAAGGAAGCAAGAAAGGAAGGAAGGAAAGAAGGGAAGCAGGAAAGGAAGGAAGGAATGAAAGAAGGGAAGCAGGAAAGGAAGGAAGGAAGGAAGGAGAGAAGGGAAGCAAGAAAGGAATAGGCATAGGAATGGAAGGTAATGGAATGGAGTGGAGAAGGGAGAACGGTAAGGGAAGGATCAGGATAAGGAGTAGGATAAGGAAGGCAATAGTTAGTATTTCGCGATTTTTTCGGTTCCGAGAAGGAAGGAATAGAAGGAAGGATCCCTTTTCGAGAGAAGGGAAGCAGGAAAGGAAGGAAAGAAGGAAGGAGAGAAGGGAAGCAAGAAAGGAAGGAAGGAAGGAAGGAAAGAAGGGAAGCAGGAAAGGAAGGAAGGAATGAAGGAAGGAAGGAAGGAGAGAAAGGAAGCAAGAAAGGAAGGAAGGAAAGAAGGGAAGCAGGAAAGGAAGGAAGGAATGAAAGAAGGGAAGCAGGAAAGGAAGGAAGGAAGGAAGGAGAGAAGGGAAGCAAGAAAGGAAGGAAGGAATGAAAGAAGGGAAGCAAGAAAGGAAGGAAGGAATGAAAGAAAGGAAGCAAGGAAAGGAAGGAAGGAAGGAAAGAAGGGAAGCAAGGAAAGGAAGGAAGGAATGAAAGAAGGGAAGCAAGAAAGGAAGGAAGGAATGAAAGAAGGGAAGCAAGAAAGGAAGGAAGGAATGAAAGAAGGGAAGCAAGGAAAGGAAGGAAGGAATGAAAGAAGGGAAGCAAGAAAGGAAGGACGGAGGGAGGGAGGGAGGAGGGAAGGAAGGAGGGAAGGAGGGAAGGAGGGGAAGACAGGGAAAGAAAGGGAAAGAAAGGAAAAGAAAGGAAAAGAAAGGAAAAGAAAGGAAAAGAAAGGAAAAGAAAGGAAAAGAAAGGAAAACAAAGACAGACATAGTTGCCGACTCTGTGGCGAACCTTCGGTGCATCCAATCCCAACGTCTCAAAGTCGAATAGGCTGCTCGCTTGCCGCGGACCCTGGGTCAGACCACAACACTTCCTTGCGCTGTTGCGTGCGAGTTCTTGCACCGTGGATGCGCTTTCCCTGCTATATTTGTGTTTGATTTGTTTCAGGCGTGCCTGGCTTCCTGCCAGCACAAAGACCTCAGTGTAGCCTTGTATGCCAATCAATCGACACGGTTCACCTGCAGAGCACGCTGGTGGGCTTGCCCCACAGGTGACCCCAATGCAGGCAAGTCTCCTACATGTTCTGCTATCAGCAACTTGTTTTCAGCTCTCGTGTCACAACACCGCCCTTTGTTCCATCCTGTTGATCATTTTGTCGGTGTTGGCAACAATGGGAAGATTCAGGAGCGTTTACGGAGGTTGGAAGGCGCTCTACTCTTGTGGGGTCCAGAAGCAAAACCAATCTTAGATCCTAATTTCCCAAACCGAGAGACTGTCGATATCGGGAAGTATTTGGATTTGACCCGTTGGCTGGAGTGCGCAAATGGAGGCAAATTTGAATGGGGCACTGGCGCAGAAGAGAAGCAGGTCTTGAAAGCAGATGGTGACCCATATGTTGCATTGGTGTTTCCATCAACCAATGTTAATTTGTGCCTTTACCAGCAATTTAATTTGTTTAAGAATTGGTGGGTGAAGGTCGAACACAAGCACCAATGTGGATTCGCAGCACGGGTTCTCATGACCCCAACCACACGTGCGATTGTTGACATTGACACTGGGTTACTGGACGCCCGCCTAATGGATTCCTTTTTTCAGAAAGTTTGGCTGGAAACTGTCACGCGCTGGGGGCCACAGGTCCGTCCGGCATCTTTGCTGTCCACTTCTGCTTCTGCGCAGCGTGCTGTGCGGAAATTTTACGATGAGTTGCATGAATTGACGGAAGCAGGTTCCTGGGGGTCTGCGGGTTTTGCGTCTTTAGGGAAGATGGAATACCATGTGCCAAGCGCTGCATTATTGTGCTCCTTCCAGGACTGGGCTCTTTCTGGAAACAGGCATACCGTGCTGCCGGACAACGCAGTAAAATGTGGAATCAGGCATTTTGACTTGCGTGTGGTGCATGGTTGCAATATCAATACATAGACCCGGGCAAGCCGGCGGCGGAAGTTTCCCAAAAATAAATGACCTATAGTTCGAAGAAAAACCTGTCCCGACCGTGTCCTTCCCTCGACAAGCGGTTTTTTTTCAGCGAGAGACGAAGCAAAGTCTTCACACTCCACACTCCACACTTCACACTGCACTCTTCCCACTCCAAACTTCAAACTTCAAACTTCACACTCCACACTTCACACTTCACACTTCACAGTCCACACTTCACACTTCTCACTTCTCACTGCTTCCTTCACACTCCAAACCTCACACTTCACACTTCACACTGCGCTCTTCGCACTCCAAACTGAAACTTCACACTCCACACTTCACACTTCTCACTTCCCACTGCTTCCTTCACACTTCACACTTCACACTGCACTCTTCACGCTCCACACTTCACACTGCTCTAAACGTACGTCCAACAAAAAAAACACTAGTGCCAAAATGGAGAAAATCTGCTAACAAACCCATTTCGCAGCCTTCATGCAGCCACTCCAAGACGATTTCCGAGATCCAGCTGCAAAAGACAATAGTATTACGAGTGCAGCCACAGCACGAAGCAACCTTGACGCAGCCATTACAATGCGATCTGCAGAGACTGAGTTGCAAAACACAATAGAACTACGCGCAACGGCGTCGGAAATTGTAGCTCCAAAACCGGATGATCTCGACGCCAGAGCGAAGAAAAGACGATTTTGAAGCGCTTTTTAAAAGGATTTTTCGAAGGAAAATCATTAGCGCCAAAATGGAGAAAATCTGCTAAAAAATCCATGTCGCAGCCTTCATGCAGCCACTCCAAGACGATTTCCGAGATCCAGCTGCAAAAGACAATAGTATTACGAATGCAGCCACAGCACGCAGCAACCTTGACGCAGCCATTACAATGCGATCTGCAGAGACTGAGTTGCAAAACACAATAGAACTACGTGCAACGGCGTCGGAAATTGTAGCTCCAAAACCGGATTTCGACGCCAGAGCGAAAAAAAGACGATTTTGAAGCACTTTTTAAAAGGATGTTTAGAAGGAAAATCACTAGCGCCAAAATGGAGAAAAAAACGCATTTCGTGCGAGACCTCCTTCAAAACTCTATCGGCAACTCATCCACCAGCACCACTTGCAATCCCATTTACATTGCGGGAACGATCCTACAGTTGCAAATCACAATGGAATTCTGTCGACCGCGCATGC